ATAATCCATACATAATCCATACATAATCCATACATAATCCATACAAATTCCATACACTCCAAGTCTAATCCAACGTCAATAATTTAAATTACAACCTGTACCCTGTATAAACAATATAATCCATCAACACTAAAATATATTATCAACCATTAAAGCATTCAACATAATACATGAATAACCATGATTTAAATCCATACATAATACATGAATAACTAACGTCAATAATTTAAATTACAACCTGTACCCTGTATAAACAATATAATCCATCAACACTAAAATATATTATCAACCATTAAAGCATTCAACATAATACATGAATAACCATGATTTAAATCCATACATAATACATGAATAACTAACGTCAATAATTTAAATTACAACCTGTACCCTGTATAAACAATATAATCCATCAACACTAAAATATATTATCAACCATTAAAGCATTCAACATAATACATGAATAACCATGATTTAAATCCATACATAATACATGAATAACTAACGTCAATAATTTAAATTACAACCTGTACCCTGTATAAACAATATAATCCATCAACACTAAAATATATTATCAACCATTAAAGCATTCAACATAATACATGAATAACCATGATTTAAATCCATACATAATACATGAATAACTAACGTCAATAATTTAAATTACAACCTGTACCCTGTATAAACAATATAATCCATCAACACTAAAATATATTATCAACCATTAAAGCATTCAACATAATACATGAATAACCATGATTTAAATCCATACATAATACATGAATAACTAACGTCAATAATTTAAATTACAACCTGTACCCTGTATAAACAATATAATCCATCAACACTAAAATATATTATCAACCATTAAAGCATTCAACATAATACATGAATAACCATGATTTAAATCCATACATAATACATGAATAACTAACGTCAATAATTTAAATTACAACCTGTACCCTGTATAAACAATATAATCCATCAACACTAAAATATATTATCAACCATTAAAGCATTCAACATAATACATGAATAACCATGATTTAAATCCATACATAATACATGAATAACCAACGTCAATAATTTAAGAGTATCCACTGATTGGACTGGCTTAAGAGTGATTCCAGAATATGCCATTTCGGCAAATATTGCCATTTCCGAGAAAACCCTTTTGTAGCAACCCAAGGACCCACCTAACATGTACTCAAGAAAGTTCAAATCATTCAAGAAATCTTGGAACATAGTATCAACTGGGATGATCCTTAATTTGCAATGACAAAAGAACATCAGGTATCCTCACATAATGGCAATTTCCCCCATGACTCAGCAAGAACGAACTTAGATATTTTTTTAATGTTCTTATTCCACACTACATTTGATGTTTTTATAAGAAAAAAATAACGCCTACAAAAAATAAGTAAACACTCCATGTTTTTATATGATAAAATAAAAGCCGCACTTATAACCAACAACAGAATAGCAAACACCATTATAGGCACACAAAACATTTCAAATTTTCATCCATCAGCATTACATGCAAAAACAAAACAACACAGCATCTCAAAACACTACACACGATTGTACTTCAAATAGCACAATAAATCTACCCCAGTGCTATCTTTCCTATGCCTGTTAGCCTATTTGTTTTGTACCAAAAATGCCTCACTTGTAGCACCAGAAACAAATTGTGCAATGTGCACATATACATACAACCAAAAGCAATATGGTCCTAATAATAATTTATCAATTAAAACATCTTCAATAAATATGGAGAGGTCCCAACAACAATAATTTAATCACCAGATTAGACAGGTGAAAAACATAAGCAAGAGACTCAGTGGCCACAACCAGACTTCAATAACATTAATTGACTCCCTGCCAAAAAAAACTACCTCAATATCACAGCTTAAGTGCAACTAAACACCTCATACTTGTGGCACAATGAGACACTCAGTATATATGAATAATTTAGAGTTTATCTTGCCCAAATCAAAGATCACAGACATAAGAATAGGCACTTCAAATTGTGATATTGTACCTCAAATCATACTCCTACAGGTCCTGGCATTCGAGGGGGTCCTGATGGCCCTGATGGTCGATAATAACCCTGCCCCCTCATTGCTAAAAGTCTCTCAATCTCCTCACCTCGGCCTACTTTCCCAAATTCTTCATTTAAAAACTGCTTCAGTACAGGAGTAACACCAACATTATACCTCAACATCTGACCCAGTAATTCAACACTCATGTCGAAATTACTTTCCTTGCAAAGCCCCCTAATCACAATATCATAGCTCATGGCATCTGGTTTTGGATCTCTTTCGCCCATTTTTGTCAGAATCGGTGCACACTCCAAGACTTTACCTTTCTCAATCAACGCGCCAAACCATCTGTTGGCATATTCTGGAATCACTCTTAAGCCAGACTTTACCTGGATAGATGTCAGTATAGCAACTATATATATTGGACTCCACTGATTTTGTAGAATATCCAGACAAATACTTCCATCTGCATAAACTGGTCCAAGCACAAAACAATAGTATGAGCAACTAGCATAGGCATATATCTTAGTGACATTATGTTTCACCACATAAGAGAGGAAATCAAATATCAAGGAGCAATGAAAAGACACAAAGAAAGCAGGATTCTGTGCAACATGCTCCAGTGGATATGGCACGAAGTGTAATAGAAGCATGCAAACTAATAAACCCCAAAAAAGTAATAGAAACTTATAAAGACAAGTATAAAGCAATGTTGGCAGTCCTAAGAGGAGTAAACAGTATTGAAGTTAATATTAGTGGCAGAGCATGACTTCTGAGGATGCAGTGGCAGAAACTTACACTTTCCATAACACAACACAATAATCTGCTACCCTCTCAATCAAGAAAGCAAAAGGTTTTAATTACTTATGACAAATAGATTTTACGTGGAGCCTTCTATAAACATATCCATTACCTTCCCACTTCTCAACTTCAAGCACTTAAAGCAAACCAGGCTCAACAACCGCTTTAGTTCGCTCGCATGGGAAGGATGATATACTGGAATTGGTAATTCTATATACCCAAAGTGACCTGAAAGGTAAAAAAATGAACAAAACTTTAGCAATACTTCAATGTGTCCAGCGGTCATGACCATTCAAACTTCTCAGTGTAATCAGAAAATAAAAAGGATTAAAACATGAAAAATACCTTCGCACAACATTAAAACATTAAAACATTAAAACATTAAAACATTAAAACATTAAAACATTAAAACATTAAAACATTAAAACATTAAAACATTAAAACATTAAAACATTAAAACATTAAAACATTAAAACATTAAAACATTAAAACATTAAAACATTAAAACATTAAAACATTAAAACATTAAAACATTAAAACATTAAAACATTAAAACATTAAAACATTAAAACATTAAAACATTAAAACATTAAAACATTAAAACATTAAAACATTAAAACATTAAAACATTAAAACATTAAAACATTAAAACATTAAAACATTAAAACATTAAAACATTAAAACATTAAAACATTAAAACATTAAAACATTAAAACATTAAAACATTAAAACATTAAAACATTAAAACATTAAAACATTAAAACATTAAAACATTAAAACATTAAAACATTAAAACATTAAAACATTAAAACATTAAAACATTAAAACATTAAAACATTAAAACATTAAAACATTAAAACATTAAAACATTAAAACATTAAAACATTAAAACATTAAAACATTAAAACATTAAAACATTAAAACATTAAAACATTAAAACATTAAAACATTAAAACATTAAAACATTAAAACATTAAAACATTAAAACATTAAAACATTAAAACATTAAAACATTAAAACATTAAAACATTAAAACATTAAAACATTAAAACATTAAAACATTAAAACATTAAAACATTAAAACATTAAAACATTAAAACATTAAAACATTAAAACATTAAAACATTAAAACATTAAAACATTAAAACATTAAAACATTAAAACATTAAAACATTAAAACATTAAAACATTAAAACATTAAAACATTAAAACATTAAAACATTAAAACATTAAAACATTAAAACATTAAAACATTAAAACATTAAAACATTAAAACATTAAAACATTAAAACATTAAAACATTAAAACATTAAAACATTAAAACATTAAAACATTAAAACATTAAAACATTAAAACATTAAAACATTAAAACATTAAAACATTAAAACATTAAAACATTAAAACATTAAAACATTAAAACATTAAAACATTAAAACATTAAAACATTAAAACATTAAAACATTAAAACATTAAAACATTAAAACATTAAAACATTAAAACATTAAAACATTAAAACATTAAAACATTAAAACATTAAAACATGACCATTCTTCTTTTTCTTCTTCTTTCCTGACAAAGTAAAAAATTAATTCTTGTAAGAAAAACGATGACATACTCCAATGCATAAGGACCAACTTGTTTCTCTCCATAATGACATACTCCAATGAGTCTACCCCTCGCACAACAATAGGTAAAACCAACAAAGCTAAAAGTGGACAAAAAATCTAAGCAGCACAAAACTCATTAATGAAGTGGTCCCAAGCAACTGCCAATTCATTATCAACATCTGCTGCATCAATGTTTACTAAGTAACAAGGAATAATATACATATACAAATAGAAAAAGTACAGAGGGGAAAGAATTGATTTTTGATTTACTAATGGACATGTAGGGCAGCTTTTTTCCGTGACTAAAAAATTTAGTAGCCAATAGTTTATTTCTCTCATTCTCAAATTTTTTAGCTACTAATTATTTGGTGGCAAAAACGTTTTGGGTTATGTTTTTGCTACTAAATTATTAGTAGCCAAAACTTTTGATTACCTATTTGGCTACCAAAACATTTGGTGGCCAAATAATTTTCTGTTTTTTTTTTTAAAAAAAAAAAATTTGTAAACAACCTGTATTCATTTATATTACATGTACCCTGTATAAACAATATAATCCATCAACACTAAAATATATTATCAACCATTAAAGCATTCAACATAATACATGAATAACCATGATTTAAATCACATACATAATACATGAATAACTAACGTCAATAATTTAAATTACAACCTGTAAACATAATACTTTCTATTACATTTGTAATTAATACAGCAATGATACACAAACACCAGAGAAAATCAGACCAGCCACCTACAACGAGGAAGATTAGTGATTTGAAGCAGCTTAATTACGTCCTATAGCACCCAAAGCAAGAGAGATTTAGTCTTCTGTCCAGCTCTGCTCAACAATTTCACGCACCCTCCGGTTGTATTCACGCTTGTTCTCACTAAACAACAATGCTGCTTCTGAATTTGCAGGTGAGTTTGCATTTGGATCACAGAGCATTGACTGAAATGAGAAAAAGGGGAAACCTGCATTTGGGCTTGGGTTTGGGTTTGGATCACAGAGCAATGACTGCAATGAGAAAAATGGGAAAAATCAAAAAACATCATACCTGAACTAGTGACCAGTAGCTTTGTGGAATCAAAACATTCCTAGAAGTTATATCTATTTGGTATGGTAGAGTCATGCTTGAACAATTGACAAACTGCTGAGTTTATTACATGCATTTGCCAGTTTTGCTCATTTATTTATTAGTAAAATGATTGCACAGTATGAATTTAATACACACCACGCATAAACACGTGCCCCAAGTTGTTATGTTATATCTATGAGCCTGTTAACAATTAATGAAAGGTTGGCCGCTATTTTGCCACACTAAATCCAAGGGATAGTATGCATGGAGTGGCCAACATGGGTTCAATTCTGCTACCTTATGAAAATTTGTTTAAAAAAGAAAAGTAAAAGTTCTGTTAAATAAAGTGGATAGATAGGTATGCACAAACCAATCAACTTTATTTTGCTGCTCTCAAATATTTTTGTATTTCATTCTAGATTTCTCATATTTTATATTACCTACATAGAGGAAAGTGGAAACCATAAAGAAAAAAATAAATAGCACAAGAGCCAAAGGAGATATGTTTTGTGCTAGCATACTCTAAATTGGTTGCAGGCTTGACGCCCTTTTTTCTCAAAATCAACAAACACGAGTCTCTGCTAGTTCACCTATGGGTTTATAACTCCTATGGTATATCCTATGTGAGTCGGTTTGCGGACCCTTCATGGGCCACTTTTGACCCACCCATTTCTATTAGGATTTTTCTCTCATTCCTTTTTCCAACAGTGTTTCTCCCACCAACGCAAGTATGGCTGTAATTTCAAATTTCGAATTTGACCTTCATACAAAGAGTGATGCCTTTATACAAAATTATTCAACCTTGTTTGTGACATCTGCTAGATTTGAACCTTATCTGCTCTCCTTGTGGCTTTTTATTTTTAATTCGCTATCTTTGAGTTGGTTTTTGAAACTTTGACTAAAACAGTACATAATGCTATGTATCACTGATTCTTGTATTCAGCTACTATAGTGGAATTTACAGTGTGATTTGTACCATCTCTAGATGAGATGTGAGTGGAGAATAATTGTTATTCAGTCTAGTTGGGATCTCATTTAGATAAAGGCCATTTTATGGCATGCTCCAGCTTCCAAGAGCCAAATAGGAACAATAAATACCCACTATTATTTATCAAAAAATAAAAAAAATAAATTATGTATACCAACTATTTGGCTTCTAGACAAACAATTACTTGTTTTCTAAAGGTGGATCTAGGGACAACTTCACGTCATGATGTGATTATTGTTAGTCATTGTCAAAGCTGCTGAAAGAACCTTCTGACCCAAAGCTACATGGAACTGCTTTTCCATTCTTCTGCAGTGTCCAGCTTGGTTGTAGCAATGATGTTAATTGGAATTCAATGTTGTCACCTACTCGTGATATTCTTTCTCCATCTTGTCTACCTAAGCTGTACAAATGGTTTGTGGAGGAAACTTAATTATTTAATTTCTCTGATAAATCCACCATTCTGTATTACGATTATCCTTCTATAATTTTCTTCTTTGGGACAACAGTGTGAACTGATAAGCACTTAATAGTCCTGGGATCCAACCTTTCAAGAATCATTACGATGGTCTGGATTTAGAACCCTCCAATATATGGCAGAGATGGAATGGCTGGTATTTATTTTCCTGTCTTCTTTTTTGCTTCTTCTGTATGCTTGTGTGTGGGAGCTAGGGCTTAATTAAAGGTAAGAACTTCAACTAGATAGATGCCAATGACAAGTGAAACAGCAGATATTACGTTGAGCTTGGCAACAAACCTATCTGGCATTTACATGGGATTTTTATTTATTGGATCTTGGCATCCCTATAATCTTACGAAGATTGACTAGAAAGAAAGGAAGTCATCATGGAGTGGAAGCATTATGTCAGACATTGGAGCAATTTCTTTGACATCTGGCTAAAAGTCTTAGCCTGTCTGAATATTAACCTTGTCTGGTTTGGGCATGACTATGGGCCTGTTAATCTATAGATTTTAGGGACTGAAGAAGTTATGCAGTCAAATAGAATTGGAATTCTTTCATTTTTTGTTTCTTTTAAAGGCCAAGAACTAAAATATAGTTTTTGAAGGAGCTTTTGTTGACTTAAGCCTAATAGTGATAGTGTGCAGAATAGTTTCAGAGAACAACTTTGATAGTTTCTCTTTTTGTTTTTGTTTTTGTTTTTTTTCTTTTTTCCCCTTGTTCTATGGAAATAAATCAGTTGCTTGCTTGTCATTTACATCTACACTGTCTCTCAAGGTAAGCCCTTATTTCTCATATCAAGATGTGTCCATACACAGCTAAAGTGGTATATGCATGATTGAAAAATACATGGTGATATAATGAGGTGAGAAAGGCACACAAGAATTTGCAATGAGTTTAAAGCAAACCAGGCTCAACAACCGCTTTAGTTCGCTCACATGGGAAGGATGATATACTGGAATTGGTAATTCTATATACCCAAAGTGACCTGAAAGGTAAAAAAATGAACAAAACTTTAGCAATACTTCAATGTGTCTAGCGGTCATGACCATTCAAACTTCTCAGTGTAATCAGAAAATAAAAAGGATTAAAACATGAAAAATACCTTCGCATGTCCCCGGTTCCGCAGCACCACATGATTCACATCGAACAGCTCTTTCCCAACAAAACAAAATCTCATAAGTTATCGCTCACCTCACTTTTTGAAATTTCAAATTTTAAAACACATACTCACTCTCTCTCTCTCTCTCTCTCTCCCCCTCAAAACACGCTTTGCTACCCCAAGAAGAAGAGGCCAAATCTATAAAGGCCAATAAAATAAAATAAAATAAAATAAAACAAAATAAAAATTCTTATGAATGGTTCAGTTTAATTTATAGCAAATTTTTTATGTTAAATTTTGGATACTAAAACTTATAACGTTATAATTTAGATTTATGCAGGTAAGTCTTATTTAATTATGTGGTCCTTTTTAATTATATAAGTGGTGGGAATTATCGTAAGTCCATCTAAAATATTATGTACCTTAATCTCAATTGATTAAATTATGTTCCATCCGTAATCAACTAACTCACAATTATGTTCCATCCGTAAGTCTGTAAGTCCATCCGTAAGTCCATCTAAATTATGTTCCATCCGTAAGTCCGTAAATTATGTTCCATCCGGATCAACCAACTCACAATTCGTAATAAAAGCATCAAAATCTCTCATACGCCTTGAGACTCCATCCCCATTCAACTTTTTTGAAGCAAATCCATTAACGTTAAAATCACCTCCCACAACAATTTGGCGAACACAACCCAAACAAACCAATTAACTCCAACAAACGACCATCTAAACCTAGGACTTAGGACCATAAACCCCCATAAGCTAAGCCACTCATCGTTGTCATCAAAATCTCTAAACCTTATAGACAAAAAACACCCTAAATACTACTTGTAGCTTACCGACCAAAATCCCCGAAGGATCTACTACTGAAAGATAAGGCCTCCTAACTCCTATTCCAAGTCCCCCAAATGCTCCTAAAAAAATTTCAATTTTACTTTCTAGAAAGATTACAATATCTGGATTATTCTTGATCAAAGTATCTTTCACTGCACTTCTCCTACTCCTAGACCCAAGGCCATGAAAATTCCAACTTGTTATCTCCATTTATAACTTATCCTACCTATGACCTCTTTTGCTCAACCATCATAATTAATCCTAGAAACCAAATTCCTCAACTATCATTTAGACCAATTTTTGAATTTTATAGAGGTTTCAGAATAGGTTGTTTTTGTATTGAGGGTACAGGTTTTTATCTTTGCATACGGATTGTGCATGTGCCTTCTGTAATAAATATGAAATTTTTATAAAACACCAAATACACAATCAAAGTTACTACTTACCTACCCAAAGCAATGAAAATCCTAATAACAACAAAGCCAAAGACAATCCATCCGAAATTCAAAGCAAAACATAACACAATCATATACTTCCATGAGAAATGCTAAAGACCCAAAATTGAGACTCACAATGATGTAGAAAGGGAGTTGGAACCTATATGGTTGAGTGTGTGACAAATCAAAAGTTGACACTTATTATGCCCCTGGGTCAAATTAAGGCAGCTTTTTAGGGGTCTCAAACATTTTCATAGTTGCATAGAACACCAAAATCAAATACAAACACATACATAAATAACTTCAAATTTTAGAAATTAAAGCCCTAATGTCACAGTCATGCTAACAATCAGCAATCCTAAACTCTATACAAAGCATAACTCAGATTCCACAAAATCCAATAATGAACACCCATCTACTTTATTTGGTACACACACAAAACAAACCCCCAAAAAAACAAAAATTCAAAATCATATACGCATCTGCATCGATTGCAGATGCAAAAATAAAAAACATAGTAAAGAAAGAGAGAGAAACTTACAGCGGGAAAACGGGTATCGAGCTGCTTCTTCATGGTGTCAGTTTTGGGCCATTTGATATTATATAAATATACAAATTTTAGGGGAAAAAAACAAAAACATAAAAATTGATTAAAATAGGAAGAAAGGGCAAAGAAAATCTAAGCGAAATCGAAGCGTAGTTCAAACCCCATGCAGTTTTTGGGCGGGAAAAAACAAAGAGTCTGTAGAAGATTCTCTGAGGCGGCAGTGGTGAAATCATCGGTTGAGAGTGTTTGTGGTGAAATCATCGGCAGAGGAGTGGTGGATCTAGATCTAGAAGCGACGGCACCGAAACAACGGCACCATCGAGTGGTGAACACGGAAGAGAGCGGCAGATGCGGACTACGGTGCTGCTGCAGAAGAGGGGCGTGGTTGATGTGGTTGGCAGTGGTTCTGGTAACGGTAGTGCGACGGCGGCATTAGGGTAGGTTTGGCGGCATCGAGAGTGAACCCTAAAGAGAGATGAGACAGACAGAGAGAGAGTGTGTGTGAACACAACAACACCCATCTCTTTCTTTCTCTGTACTACAACACATTGACAGAGATCCATCAACGTGAGAGAGAACGTGGAAAGATAGAGTTCTAAGAGACGTGTTTGGCAGACGTGGGCGAGAGAGAGGGTAGAGAGTGTTTGGGCGGGAAAAAATTTAATCTGGACCCTTAGATATTGATTAGGAATCATCCCAACCATTCAAATGAAATGTATCTCTTATACATTTTAACATATTTTCAAAAACCTTCCTCCCTTATTATATAGATATATATATATATATATATATAATAAGAAAGAAAAGAAAGAAAGAAAATTAAAAAAAAAGAAGGGAAAATTTTTTTTTAAAAAAAATTATGAGCCAACTCAACCCGTGTTTTTTTTTTTTTTTTTGGGACTCCTGCATGACTAACTAGGCACTAATCAATTTTTTAGAATTTTAGAACATGCAATATGTATATTTTCTCATAGATAAAGACAGATGAAGAAATCATGTGTCAAGTGGATTTAATTAATTTATTATTCAGTTGTAACTAGCAGTCAAAATCATTTTCTCAAGCATATCTTACAGTCAAAATCATTAACGTACAACTAAAAAAATATATACGTACAGCCCCAGCTTAGGCCTTTAGTTCAATTAGCATTAATCGCCATTACTTTTATAAATCCCTCAAAATTTAGAAAAAAAAAATATATCTAAATTAGTGATCTAAAAATAATAAGTGACTCTAAAAAATAAAACAAAATTTCTTTAAATATTTAGAAAAATGTTGAAAAAATTAATTAATTAAAAATTTAAGAAAATTTTAAAATCTTAATAATATTCAATAAGTCTTACAAATATGTATTATTTACTCATTAAAGTCATGATGAGTGATATTTTTACACACACTAGCCATCGCGAAAGAGGCATTAGTAGTAAGTTGTGTAGGGTAGGTAAATGATCGGACAGGGGTGAAAGAGAGGTAATGGTAGTAGTAGTGGTAGTGGTGGTAGTGGAGTGGTGGTGATGATAGTAGTAATAGTAGTTGTAGAGGTGAAGTGGCGATAGTGGAAGTAGTGGTGGAGGTGGAATGGCGTTTGTAGTAGTGGTGAAGGTGGTACTGGAGATGGATGGTGAGAGACAGAAATGAGTGAGAGATAGATAGAGGAGAGAGAGAGAGAGAGTGAGTGAGCAACGCAAACACAGTGGGAGAGACAGAGAGAGAAAGAAAGAGATAGAGAGTGAGAGTGAGAGACAGAAAAGAGACATAGAGAGAAGAGAGATGGACGAGAGAGACAGAGAGATAGAGAGAAGAGAGATGAGCGAGAGAGACATAAAGAGAAGAGAGATGAACGGGAGAGACAGAAAGAAAGATAGAGAGAAGAGAGATGAACGAGAGAGACAGAGAAAGATGAGAGATGAGCGAGAGAGATAAAGAGAATAGAGATAAGCGAAAGAGATAGAGAGAGAAAAGAGATGAGAGAAGAGATAGATGAGTGAGAGAGAGAGACAGATAGACAGACAGACAGAAAGAGAAGAGTGATGAGTGAGAGAGAGAAAGAGAAGAGAGAAAGAAAGATGAAAAAATGAATGAAAAGATATAGACAAAAGAGAGAAAGAGAGCGAAAAGAGATAGACGAGAGAGAGACAAAGAGAGATGAGTGAGAGACAGAGAGATGAGCGAGAGAGATAAAGAGAAGACAGAGAGAGAGAGAAGAGAGATGAGAGATGAGAGATGAGAGAGATAAAGAGAAGAAAGATGGACGAGAGATACAGAGAGAGAGAGACAGAGACAAAGACAGAGACAGACAGACAGACAAAGAAGAGTGATGAGTGAGAGAGAGAAAGAGAAGAGAAACAAAGACATAGAGAGAAAGAAAGAGACAGACAGACAAAGAAGAGTGATGAGTGAGAAAGAGAGAGACAAGAGAGACAGAGACACATAGAGAAAGAGATAGACAGACAGACAGAGAAGAGTTATGAGTGAGAGAGAGAAAGAGAAGAGAGACAGAGACAGAGAGATAGAAAGATGAAAAAATTGGTGAAAAGAGAAATGTTCAAAAGAGTAAAACAACGTTGTTTTTATTTTTTTATTTATTTTTTGTAACAGAAAAATACCGTTGTATTTATTTAAACCATTTTATGGCCATATATATATGAAGCTGTCTTAAAGCCACAATATATATATATATATATTTATTTTTTTGGCAACGATACGTATTACAATCGCAAAAAACTCTTTTTTTTTTTTTTTGCGACTGCAGTTGGTACCGTCGCAAATACTGTTTTTTTTTTTTGCGACAGCAATTTCTGCCGTCGCAAATACTCTATTTTTTGCGACGAAAGTCACATTTTTTGGCGATGGCAAGTTGTGCCGTCTCAAAAAGTCACTTTTTTTAAGACGGCAAGTTGTGCCATTTTTTGCGACGACAAATGTGCCGTCGCAAAAAGTTTCGTCGCAAAAAGTTCCGTCTCATAAGCCCACTTTTCTTGTACTGAGAGAGTGAGAAAGAGAGAGAGAGAGTCAGAGAGTGAGAGACAGGAAAATGAAATCTGAAATCTGTCCTAATATTTGTCCTAAAATTATAAATTAAAAATATTAAATTATCTTAAATATTTGTCCTAATATTTTTTTTACTGAAAAATATTATAATATATTTTAAAATTTTATATTCTTATATTCTTATATTATATATATATATATATATAAAATAAGAAAGAAAAGA